ACAGGCATAGCAGAATCACGATAGGGGCCATTTTCCCAGACCAGCACACAGCATACTTGCCAACCTTGAGACCTCAGAAATCGGGAGCATTTCCAAAACCACCGCGGGGGTGGGGGGGGGGGGGGGTGCTCGCCGGAGCTGTATTAGATTAACATTAACATGCTTATTGTAGTTGTAAGTGCACTGCCTTGCGGCCTGTAGCACCATCCTTGATGGAGCATATGTGGAAAGGAAAGGAAAGGAGTGAGCAGAGGGTTGAATTGTCGATTCTGGTTCTGTTTGCTGTGACTATCTTCCTCACCCTCTCAGACTTTCAGTTGCGTCTAAAGAGACGCGCTACCATGGAAACCAAACAATGGTGTAGCTGTATTAAAGTCCGAGTGGAAACAGTGGAGTGAGTGGAGTAAATCTGATTTAGTCAGAAATCGGGAGAAATGCGGGAGAAATATGACCCCGGGAGGAAACCGGGAGAGGGCAATGAAATCGGGAGTCTCCCGCGAAAATCGGGAGGGTTGGCAAGTATGGCACACAGTATCCGCGATGTTCCTGGGGCAAAAATCCTCCTCCTCACAGCAGCAAAGGACAGGCGAAAGCAGCAGCGTGGAAGCGCTCCGGTCTCTCCGTGGTATCCCCGGGGTAAAAGGTCTCCTCAGCAAAGCAGCACACGACACCGCAGCACACGACAGGTGGGAGCAGGCCTCCGCAACAGCAGAACCAGGACAGGTGGAAAGCAGGCCCCAGCCGTGGTGAATCCTCCTCCGCACAGCAACACACGCCCGGTGGAAGCAGGCCCCAGCCCGAAGCGTGGAGCCACTCCGTCTCTCCGCGATGTCTCCGGGGTAAAAATCCTTACTCTACAGTTGGGAGCAGGCCTCCGCAGATCGTAGACACCAGACAGGTGGAAAGCAGGCAGCAGCCGGTGGAGCCGCTCCGTCTCTTCGCGACTTCTCCGGGGGAAAACCACCTCAGCACAGCCGTACTCGGGTTGCGACAGGTGGGAGTAGGCCTCCGTAGACCGCAGACACCAGGACAGGACGGACCAACAGTGACACGGTCTCAACACCACGCCAGCTGGGACGAGGAGTGCCCTTGAACACAACTTTTGATCCCAAAACAGCAAAGTTAAGACATAATTATCATCATGGCTACGTAAAGTGAAGTTGTTTTATTGCTCTTTCCTGGCTGCTAGTTCAGTGAGTGTTGGTCGTACAGTGGAATGGAATCTGTGGAATCTCAGCTTTCATGTGATATGTTGTTTGTGCATATTGCATGACGTAGAAAATATCGCTTTTGCCAGTTATGTGCTAAAGTAGCCGTTAGTCCTGTTAGCCCGTTTCGCTAAGTGTTGATTTAGATTCTTGGTGTTGGACTTCTGTTCCGTGTAGGTAAAATGGTTAATATCGTCTCTTAGCTGAGTTTCTTCCCGTTAAGTGGGTATGCATCATTAATGGGTTGTTAAATGTTAAGAAGCCTTGAGACGCTGTTTCTAGCAAGATGTTGCGTCTGCCCCTATGGTCTGCCCCCGGGAGTCTCACAATAATAAGAGCGCTGTTAGGAGAGATGACGAGTGGCATTCACAGTGGCCAATCAGAGTGGTACTCAAACCGGATACGTCACATGGGATGAGGGTTCCCAACCAACCAGAATTGTTTTAATTCATATACCGATAGCAGCACCGTTTGTCTAGCGGCTTAACGGTATCCCGATACCGTCCAATCGGCTACCGGTACTGACTTAGTACCGGTTCTCGATACCCATCCCTACTGGCAGAGGTATTATCCTGTCCGAGTAGAATCCTCTCACTTGAAGACCAGTTAGCTTCCTGCATGACACAACTGTGTTTCTTGAAGCCATTGTGGAGAGCTTTAGGTGCACTGCTTCGTTCTTTGTGCGAAGAGCCTTTGCTGTTTCTTCGAGGATAAAGGTTGTGTCACTCAGTGAAATACTTGTGTATGCACTCCTCGATACACAATGTGGCTCATTTGTGGCTGACACCCACACTGGAACGATTGTGGATGTATGGGGGGGACTGTATTGGATGTTGCCTCACGTGGTGTGCTTGCCGCTTTACTTTGTGGCCGTTCCATTATGCTTTCTCTTGCACCATCATGTTTTGTTGACATTCTTTCTTCTCTGGTGCGATTGTCGTGGAAACAAGTTGGATGTCCTTTCTCGCATGTTTCGCACATCTTTCTGTTTTTACATTCCTTTGAGTGATGGCCAGATTTCAACAGCCAAAGCACAACTTCTTCTCTTGAACAAACTTGACTCTCTCAGAGATTGTCTCATTCATGAATTTGTGACATTTGTGCAGACCGTGTCTTGCCTTCTCGCAGAAAGGATAGTTTGTGGTATCTGCTCTTTCATCTGTCTCTGTAGTCAATACATTTGCTACAGGACTTCTGTTCCTTAAAATCTTGCTTTTTTCGCTTTCGCTTGATTTTAGAGCATGGAGAGATGTTATTGGGTTGCAAGCTATTTTGGCTTCACGTGAGAGAAATTTAACAAACTGGCTGAAGGTTGGGAACGTGTGATTTTGTTCTTCCATTTCTATGACCTTTGAAAAGTTGAACTTTTCTCAACTTTCGAAGCGAGCAACGGAGGCAAAGCGACGCGACGGAACCACAATGCAGTTCGGCAAAGCTTGACCTCACCCCATTCAAAGTGAATGGGAAGTGTCTCCGTTGAAGCACGCAACGGAACCGTGTGGACGTACCGTTATGTAGTGGTGAGGTGCCGCTCCACATTGCTTTTCTTCCCGACTGCAACGCTGGTCCCGCAAATCAAGCAAGAACGTGATTGATCAATATTCATTGTGGGGGTGGGGGGGGGAGGGGTGTTCGATATAGAGTTGTAGTAAGTAGATAGAGTTCACTATGATTGAGGTTTCGTTTATGCATAGGGTAGATTCTTTTAATTGATGTCCTTTTTTTCGTGTGTATTTTTACATTTTGGATTTGCTTGGCGAGCTTCTTATCGACGCGTTGGAGACCCCTGGTTTAGAGTAACAAAAAGTGATGCAACACAGTTCCCTCAAACAAACTGGAGGCAAACAAACTGTTGCCTATTCATAGGAGATTTGTTTTTTTGAAGCCCATTGACCATCTTTACAACACTTACTGAGCAGGATAGGCTAGATGGGGAGGAAAGCAGTGGATACATAACTTTTTAATCATGCCTCTAGGCCTCTTCCCATGTATCTCTATACAATTAAACGATAAATGACGTAAATATGTATTTATGAGCACAATGTTCCACCTTCAACCCCTGTACATTTTTATCCCTGGCCTCTCCTGTTCATCACACGCCCCCATGGCCCCTCCACTGTACGTCCCTTACTCTTAGAAGCTCCGCTGGGGCTGCTCTGTCAAATGATTCATGAATGTTGGCCACAAACATTTTCCCTTGTAGAAAACAGGGCCCCGTGCTGAAGTCAGGGTTGCGGGCTGTGTTTACTGTGTACACACTGTCGGGGCTCATGCAACCCAAACCCTAATATGGGTAGTTAACATTTAACAGAGTAGGACATGGGTCATCACCCTGTGAGGATTGGCAGAAATATATCTCCTCATACTCCCACTGCTTGTGAGTCACAATGAAAGTTGCAACCTTTATGCAGGTGATGTTGTTTTAACTGTAGAGAGGTAAAGCAATAATTACATGTCGAATCAGGTTGCAAGGAAAATGTCTACAGAGAATGTTAAAATGAACAAATCTGACATTTTCCTTATGAGTTTATTCTCTACCTTAAGTATTCACTTATTATTGATTATATTAATTATACCTCATACAGAATGATGTTCATTTTGTAAATGATTGTACAATTTAAAGTAAAATAGACTATAAGCGGTAATGCTTTAGGGCGTGGCTACCTTGTAATTGATCGTCACTAACACTGTTTAACGGTTTGAGTGCCCGGTTTGAGTTTTTCCAAAATACTAGTCCCAAACTAACAAGGTAGGTCAAGGTGACTGTACACTTCTCCTATACAGTTTATGCAAACAATCCATATTTGCACAGCACCTATAGCGTACAAAATAACTTTCAACATTGCAAAACCATGAGCTTGTAAGTCACGTTCGTAAATAATTTCTTTATGTACATTTTGTCAGATTCCTGTGAATGATGAACTAGCCATGCAACAATAACAGAGAACAGCTGTGACCTCAGGAAAAGTCACTACAGGTCAGTTGAAAACACTGACACATATGAGGTACCATATTTATGTGTATAACATTAATAACTGTATAACCTTCAGTAGATGCGAGAGGCATGTCCTCAGTTTGGAGAAGCAAACATTGGTTATTTTGGGTCTTTGGTGAATCAGAAACACCCAAAGTTACACAAAGACACAAACTAACCAGTTTAGGCAGAGGTAGACCTGCAACCCCCGTGTTCTGTGAGTTAAAATTACAGTTTTCTTCAATGTAGTCTGGCGGCTTTCAAGAGAGCACTCACTGTTCTCAGTTTTCTGTCACAAAAAGATGTCTCACAGCGAATTAAAGCTTTGAAGATGTTCCTTATATGGCGTCACTGAAATCGATGTTTGCTTGCTTGAATATCTGCCTCCGTCGACAGCAGTACTATTTACTTATCAAACGTTGTAAAGTCTGCCATCTACTGTAGCAAATACACCAACTATAAATAAGTACCCATTACAATTCCTCTTTAAAACATCTGAACAGTCCCTTTTAAGAAAATAAATGAGAGCTAGGTTGAACATTGCAGGAAAACTACAGTAACCTACTGCTTGATACATTTGACAACATTCAAAGTTGTCAAATCATTTAAGTTCAATGTTCCGTTGATGAAATGTGCATGGTTAATCAAACTGATGCCCATTTTAAATCCAATTACTGACATTTGGCTTGAGCTGAACTTTTGATATCCGGAGGAAACTGAATAATCCATGCAGATATTGATCAGAGTTAATCATTGACCACATTCCAGACAGTGTATAAAGCCCAGGATCCTCACTGTACGTTCGGTTAGAGCGGAGAGAGAGGGCTGCCATTTGTCCACCGAACATCACGACACACATGTCGCCACCACGACGACAACATGAGAATTACACCTATTCACGTATTGTTGGTCCTGGCGGCTGCCTGTGTCCCGGCCCTCTGTGGCTCAGAGGAGCCCGTGGCCCCGGTGGAGACCCGCTCCCGCTTTGCCGCTCTGGACGATGTGCGTCTCCTGGCTAACGGCCTCCTCCAGCTGGGTCAGAGCCTGCGGGAGTTTGTTCAGAAGACAAAAGGACAGATAAACGACATCCTCCAGAAGATCAACATCTTTGACCGCTCGTTTTACCAGCTCTCAGTGCTTGCCAATGAAATTAAAGAGGAAGAAGAGGAACTGAAGAAAACTACGGTGGTGCTGAAAGCCAACAACGATGAGATCAAGGGCCTGTCTATTGAGATCAACTCCAAAGTGGACAACATCCTGCAGGAGAAGAGCCGTCTGCAGGACAAGGTGGAGGGACTGGAAGAGAGGCTGAGCAGCCTGTCGCACGGCCTGCTGACAGGAGAACAAGTGGCAGAGATCAACGGCCTCAGGGTGAGCCACCGCTGCTGGAAAGGCTTTTTCTTTCTGGTGCAGTGGAAATATTTCTGTAAGATCTTCCTGCTGTCCTCGGGTCACATTTGACATGGTTAAAGGTTTTTCTAATTCTAAATCTAACTTTATACAATCTGGTTATTATGTACTTTCATTAAAGCACCTGAAATAGTTTCCAAACAGATTCCTAAATAAACTTGGACATATAAGTCTCTTATAATCCATCAAGATAAGCCCCTTTTATCCAAACTATTGTCAGAATAATTCAAAAATGTTGCAATTTTTTACCTCAAAACTTTATTTATGTGTAAATGAGGTGTAAACGAGGTCTATTGACCATACATTCCATGAGTTGGATTGAAAAGGTATAAGCAAGTTGTTATGATGGTTTCATGCTGAAAGCTTTATAAACAGTCAAATACGGACAAAATGTGATCAGAAGACAACACAAGGGTTAAGATACAACACTTCTACCAAAGTAGCATGTTTTTTTGCTTACCCATGCTTTGTTTTGCATTTGTTCTCCAAATGTATGAAGGGAGTATTTTATGTGATATTAACAATAAATAGCACCATTCTATAACTGCTCCCATGATTCCACCTTTCTTCCGGGCTCAGGAGGTGATCCACAGCCAGGAGCGGAGCATCACAGAGCTGCTGAAGGCTGTGAGGGAGCAGAGCGATCAGCTCAACCACCAGAGGGTTCAGCTCAAGACTCTGGAGGAAAAGGTAACTGCTCGGGACCGTTGAAAATGTTTTATTGGCGAAGAGGGTGTTAAAGGGACACCCTTTTTTAATTGTTATCAGTCTATTAAATGGCTATTATCAGTTGTCATCTAAAGCATAGATTTTAGGTGGTATGGCCCTTCTCTACCTCTTATTTGGCTCAGTAGGCTATTGCAAGCTGTATCACCTTGTAGGGAGGTTAAAAATAATTAGGGGGCAACCTACGACGTCATAGTAATTACAGGAGAAAAGAAGGAAGCCAAGTGCAAAAATACACAGGACTTTTATCCAATAGTATTTCCTGTACGCTACATACAGTACGTAAGCTAACGTGTGTACGTAAGCTAACGTATGTACTTATTTAGCTTAAGCAACGTTTAAACCTTAACAAGTAGTTTTGTTTCAATTCACAATGTGAACCGCATGTTAAAAACTGCAGGCTAACACGGCCAGACCCAGCTCTAGACTGCCTACGCTGGAGAATGATCTAGCAAAAGTGCTAAACCCATCATAATTCAACACAATGGGAAAATCATAACAAGGGTAGAAAAACGAAGCCATGTGAGAAAAAAATCCAGGGATTTTATCCCGGAGTTTGTCCTGTTGCCTAATTTAAATTGACTTGCTAAGTACGCTAAATACATATGCTAATGCTAACTTAGGTAAAACTGCCACTACCAGGCTAGCCCGGCCTGCCCCCTCTCTACATCATACTTCCTGCACTATTGGGAAAGAAACGTTCTTGGTTGTTTGTGTTTATTCAGCCAATCCCAATTGGCAGCTTTTAAAATCCCAGAATGTCCCAACATTGCTGAATAAATAGCGGAGATAGCGTAAGTGAGAATTCTGAGGAATCAATGGCTCATACCTCCTGTTAGTCATATTAGAAGCTTCAAAATACTAGTGATAACAACTGATAACAGTCTTTTAATGGATTGATGACATTTAAAGTGGGTGAGAGTCTAGTTCCCCTTTTTGCTTAGGGTCATATCTTTTGGGATGGCCTTTTCAACATTTATCACACTTTCCTTCTTTCGTTGTGAGATTTATTGTAAGAGAATTTTTTTTTTAGTTATCACATTCATATTTAAAGCTGTCTGGGAGAAACGTTTCCAATGTGTCTTGTAATTTAGGATGTCATACATATCTGGCTATAGAGTAATCTGATATTTTCATTATTTCATGGAATATAAGGTTAGTACGTTAGCACACGTTAGAGTGGGTCAATATTTGCCATTTTGTTAGGATATTAAATATATTATTTTGAGATATTTTGTTGGAGGGTGTTGCATTCAAGGAACGGTAGCTTGAAAGGTAGCTTTTTTTTGTTTTATTATTAAATACGCCCCTCCCACAGCCCCATCATTTTCATACAATCCTTAATTAGTATTGGAAAGGCATTTCTAATCTCATGGCCTTTCAGCTAGTTGCTGTGTGACAGCTCAAAACTGATGTTGTAACTCTTTAATCTTAAACACTAAAGAAAACGTATTTTGCAGAAAAACAACCTTTAATGTGGAACCCACATTATTTCACCATGATCAGCATTAGGATTATGTCTTTATGCTAAAGTTTGTGCTTATTATTTCTCCACAGTTTACAGTCAACACATTGGCCCAGGAGACCATTGAGAGGATGCCTGAAACCTACAACAATGAAGCACCAACACTCACCCCTTATTTGACCTCAAACTTTAACAACGACATGACGAGTAAGGAAAATAAAACATTTGCAAATGTCGAGTGATATTAGGATCTGGCATCTTTTATTTTTAGCAGGCCCAACACTTTTGCCATGTCCATCGATTTGGAATTGTAATGTGACAATTTCCATACATTTTTCGCTTCCCATTTCATACCTACCTGTCTGCCTGATACACATTTTCAGCTTTTACTGAGCAATCAATTATCCTGCACACGTTTTATTGCTGATATGAACTGCTGACTGTCTGGTCACAAGTGCACTGCTCCAGATTTAAAGCTAATCTTTATGCAGGGCAGTTTTAACTATAACATTATACTTGTGGGCTTTATTAAAATAGAGCTGCCATTGGACTGCAGTGACCTGTTCAACGGAGGGGAACAAGTCAGTGGCCTCTATGTCATCAGACCCACCGGAGCGGAGCCCTTTATGGCTTTTTGTGACATGAGCAAAGGTACTGTACCAACACACACATATTCAACTTTAACAGAGCACAGGACTAGTTTCTTCATATTGTATACCTTGTTTAGTCTTTATTAAGTCAACCAATCTATATTTATATTTTACTTAAAGTTGTAAACCTAATTTAAAGCAACACTAGAACATTTAGATTTTCTTTAGCAGTATAATGCACCTGTGTAGAGAGTGGGTTCCATGCATGGACTGTGTCAAGTGAATGTTCTAATATGTTTAACGATTATTAAAATCCAGTTCTTGAAAGGCAGACTCAGCCACTAACAAAACAAATACAGATAGAACTTTAAAAGTAGTGATTGTTTTTTCCCTTTTTTCCCATTTTAGATCATGGAGCCACAGTCATCCAGCGAAGAAACGGCGGCTCAGTAAATTTCGATCAAATCTGGGAGAAGTATGAAAATGGGTTTGGAGATTTTCAAGGTGAGAGACACAGCTATGTTCTCCAGACTTTAATTACCCATGTTATAGTTAGAACATTCATTCTCATCTGCCAAATTTGAAATGACTTGACGTATATCATGATTATAACATTACAACCTCTGTAAGTGAAAATATTCTGTACGTTTGTGTGCATCACTTCTCAAAGGTGCTTGTTAAATCATGTCAGCTGTGACCGCTAAAGGATGTTTCTCTAACAGGGGAGTTTTGGCTCGGTCTCAGAAAGATCCACTCTCTGGCCGCTCAGGGAAACTCCGTCCTTCAAATCGAGCTGGAAGACTGGAAACAGGACAGGCGCTTCATAGAATACAGATTTAACCTTAATGGCCCTGAGAGCAACTACACCATTCACCTCACGCATCTGTCTGGAGAGGTGCCGGACCCCATGAGCAACCACTCTGGCATGATGTTCTCCACCAAGGACAGGGACAATGACAACCTCCAGGGCTTCAACTGTGCCCAAGACTACACAGGTACTAGGGATGTAACTGGATATGTTATTTGAAAAGCACAAATAATGCAGTAAAAATGTTTTTTTTTTCTATCTAAAATGTTTTTTCTTTTTACAAGATAAAAAAGTAGAGTAAGAACGTGTTTACATTTTATAATCAATCAATCAATTTGAAGCTCTCAAGGCACAAAGATTGCATTGTCAATGAATATTAGGATTGGAAATACAATATTTGCCCGGTTTAACGTGTATTTAAGTTTCCTGTATAAACCACGACCACTTGCGTTGTTCTCTCCGAATACAAATAAAAAATGTTAACAGATACAGCTAAAGAATCTATCTAATATTATCTAATCTGTAACACATAGTAGTGCAGCAATGACGTAGTTTGGCCGACCTGGAAGTTAGCATCGCAAGGGCTCACTCGACAGAAAGCAATTGGATTTTTCAATTGGATTTCGGTATATTGCAGAAAAATACGTTCTGTGGCAAACCCACATTTTGTTCAGCGTGATAATCTTCACATAATTATACCACTTTTTTAAAGCGTAAATGCAATCAGAAAAAAAAAAGCAGAAGTAAACAGCTAACGTTAGGCTATTAACAAAATACATCACGTGGCATGGCTGCGCATCACCACCGCTAAGCTAAAGGCGGCTAGTGTTTGGTGTGGTGTTGTTTGATAGTTTATTTTGTCACTTTTTAGCATCCGCCATTTTGGTGACACATAGAAGCTTTGTACATTCACGTGTGGGGTAACATTTTTTAAGCTTCTGCTAACCATAGACCTTATTTCTGGCTGTTAACCACAAACATGTTCAAAAAGCCATTGACTTCAAGATGAGGGAAACAGAGTGTGAAGTGCTTAGTCATTTCTGGGTTTGAGGACTCATTCCTGCACCACTCTATTACAGATATAGGATAAAAATATCTGACAGCTCTGTACATCTCTTACAGGTGGATATGTTTACAGTAATGAATACTTTTCAGCTGAACAACAAGTCATTTCTGTCTTCTTCCAGGTGGATGGTGGTACAACGCTTGCGGAGATACCAACCTAAATGGGAGATATTTCCACATGAGACCCAAGGGGCGCTCGGATCGTAAGAGAGGGATTCAATGGAGGCTGGGCCGAAAGGCGTCTTACTCCCTCAAGTTCACCCAGATCTCTGTACATCCTGTGTCTCCCCCTAGCACCATCTCCACCACTTCGGCCTCCTCTGAAGCAGGGGTCTTTCACCACCTGCATCATTCAGTAAATAAACATTAACAGTGACCTCTCCATGAGCTTTGGCAATGCTTCATGTGGCAGCCGTGGTTTAAGAAGGCTTGTGCAGAAAGGAAGATGTTTTTCTCCAAGTGACAAGCATGCTTAACTGAGGAAGCTGAACAAATGTATAACTGCCTGCTAGGATCATCTTTATAATACTCTTGCATTGTGAAACCTCAAAGTTAGCAGTTACAATTTATCGTCACTCAATGTATCTCAGAGGACAAAGGTTATGGAGAAGAAGTTAAAACATACAGCCATATTTAAGCAGTTTTTATATTGGGTCACATTGACTCTCAGTATAGGTTAACATACAGTAGGGGGACGGACCCCTTAAATGGATCACAAGATACAATCTAAGGAGAGAATTAGCAGGATGAGAAAGACTGCTACAGAATTGATCTTACTAAAACTTCTTTAAGGGGTTTTTTGTCTTGTGAAATACTGTACAGATCATAGAAATATGAGGAAACGCACATGTAACTATTTTCCCAGTTCATTTGAGTAGAACAAATGATGGCGATTGTTAGGAAGACTGGCTAGTTAGCTTTGCCTTCTCTGGAGGGAAAGGTATTGAGGTGGAAGGAATGTTAAACCTGATGGACACAGGCCTGCTGTTCTGTTCAGCTCATCTTCTGTAACAAACATAACATTAAAGCATTGTTAAATTACTAGCTAGCTAATCAATTAAAAGAACAAAGTTATCACACATCTGGGGATATCAATGTGCCTTCCTGTGATAAGGGTGTGTCAATGATACATTTGTTGTTGTATTGGACTCATTTACTTTAACTCTCTATACTTTATATTGTACTATTCCAAGCTCTAGTTGTGTAGTCATCATTACTGCACAACCTCAGTTCAGTGAGTCTGCACCTTGCCACACTTTTGTTTATATGGAAGTTTATACGGAAGTTAGCTTGTTGCAGTGACTGCAAAACCGGCCCTCGCACTGACCTTCCTACCAGTGGACTTGACATGGCCATTCTAGTCCTATTCTATTGTTATGGTACAGAGTCAACTCCTCTGGAATCTTAAACATTATTTAATAGTTACAAGGGCTGAATTTAATGATTATTTCCTCGATTAATTGTTTAAAAAACGTCGAAAAATATTTAAAAAAAGACTATAATAACTAATGTGACAACGTCAGGTCCAGAGTCCAAAACATCAAAGGATTAGGCCATTTATGATAAGAAATGACCTAAGTACCTAATCAATCGTCAGGATATTTGCTGACATGACATCCCGAGCAGATATTGTTTTATTTTCACAGGTCATTAGGCAAAAAAGGTTGGGAACCATTTCCAGATAAAAAACACTCATCTTTACTGTTTTTGATTCTTTGAGGTGTGGATATCTGTAACTGAAAACATAACGAAAACCCAGATTTTACTTCTAAAACATCCTATTTGTCATTATGGACTAATTTGGGGGTTACCCCATCAGAGCTAGGGCCTTAGATTCTAACTGTTTTGCAGTCACTGCAACAAGCTAACTTCTGTATAAACTTCCATTTAAACCAAGCTGTGGCAAGACTCAGGCACAGAATGATCTTTCTATGTCAACAGAGATCTGACACAGAGTAGTGTCATCGTTGGACTAAAAACACTGACTTTGTTTTTATGTGAAAGCATAGTAAATGATTGACTATGGCATGTTAACTATTACTCCTTTCTAAATCCGGGATCATTGTGATGTCCAACTATTTTGTGCTCGTTGTTACAGCCAATAATAAACTCTAGAGGGCAGTGTTGTTCTGTCTTTGCTTTGTAAACAGACTGCTGGGAACCATATCTATATTTTGTTTGTTCTCCTAAAGACTCACTCTTTTTTCTAACACTCATCTTTATGATAAGAAAATCAAGGCAAATACATATGCTAGTTAATTTTAAAGGACACCTATCATGCTATATTTAAATGATATATTGTAGGGCCATACCTATATAAGGTATATTTATACGTTTCTGTTTTCAAAATACCAAACAGATCATGCATTTTAGCCATGCCTCATTTCGCTCTATGTGCTGTTTGCTGTCTACGGGGCTGATTCTGTGAGCTGCAGCTGACCACGCCCCCCTGCAGGAGAGGGGAGCCGTGCTCTGATCAAGTCAAGAGGGGGAGAAAAAAAGATCTCCGTCCTCCGTGTTTTATTATATAGAGTCGTTATTCATTTGTTTTAAAGCTCAATAAATAACAAAGAAGACCTTTGACCGGCACTTTTCTAATTTTGTCCGGAAGATTTAAACTTTAACGGACATCTTGACCGGCGAAAGAAACTGAAACTGAAACTCTGCTGCACGGTCCCCTCGTTCCTTGGAAGAGGCGGAGAGGTGGGTGTTTGTCATCTGCTGGTGGACTAACCGGAGAGAATTACAGTGCTTGCCTCGACGGGGAGGGATTGCATTGAATTAAAGCAGCGGGAGCAAACGCTTGCCTCGGGGAGGGAGAAAGAAAGCCACAGCGGAGAATAAACAGAAGGGTAACCATGGTAACTATGGGCGGGAAGTCTTCTTCGCTGCTTTTGTGGCAGACTACAGTGCCACTTACAGGCCTGGCATATGTACTACAGCGTCTCCAGCGCTTTCGAGCAGCAATGGCCGTGGCCCAACCCCACATTCCCCTGATAGGTGGAGAGTTGGCCCTCTGTCTGAAACCAGAGCCCAGTCTGTTCTGATTGGTTAGCTGGCCGGCTCTGTTGTGATTGGTCAACTGTTAAGAGATGTCCCGCCACGAGTGCTAGACAATAGAAGCACAAGGGTTACATGGTGATGTCATTATGTTACAGAAGTAAACAAAGGAGTCCAATGGAGGTGTTTCAGGCAGGGGGGGAGTGTGTGAGAGAGAATCTCCCTCTGGAGGGAACTTTGGGATTGTAGCCTTTGCAGACCATTTACATGCACACAAACCTATATAACACACTACAGGAAAGGAAAACCCCCAAAAGCATAATATGGCCTCGTTAAGGTAAGAAATACACTTTGGAAGTTTCACCAGTTTGAAATGTTCCAATATTCACCTGTAGTGTGTCTGCTTTTAAAAAAGGGGAAATATTCCCTCCTGAAATAGCGCTCCTAGATTAGAGATGCCATCCTTCTTTTTGCATATCAGAACATGGAGCACAGCTGCAGCCGTTCAGACGGACAAATAGATCCAATAACACCTCAGTACTTCCACTCTGACACACCCAAACACACTGCTCTGTGGCCGGGCCTGCAGCCTTGACAGTGATCTCCCTGCACATGTGTGAAGGAGCGTCTTCGGTTACCTCCCATGCCTCTGCACACACATTGGTTTGGAAGGTTATTTTGGGCCTCAGAAGTACCACAGTGAAATAACAGGAGGAGTCAGGATCATACACTCCCACTCTGCCCCTGTGTATACTTCCCCATGTCAACTGACAGGGGATTTCCCTCTGAACAACACGTTCCTTCTCTGGGCTCTTGCATTAAGTTGGATTTACATTTGAAACAATGGACAACAGTCCTCTGCAGGTGTTAACGGTCCCTACAGCCCCCTACCCCGACCAGAGGCCCGGCACCAGCGGCCTGAGGAAAAAGGTCTACGTATTCCAGTCCAGGAGGAAATACCTCCACAACTACATCCAGAGTATCTTCTCCTCCATCGACCTGCGGGACCGACAGGGATCCACTGTGGTGGTCGGAGGGGACGGCCGCTTCTTCAACAGAACCGCTGTTGAGGTCATTGTGCAGATGGCAGCTGCCAACGGGGTCAGTGTCCCCATGTGTGATTGTTTGTGTGAGCATGCTGTTAAATTGGTGTTTGTGTACATGTGTGGGCGGATGTGAGCATGTGGGTGTCACCATGTTCTTATCCTTTTGTTGGCATAAGTTGTACCAACCTCATCTCTTATCAGTATCCAATTTGCAGCCTTTGAAACATGCATGTTTTTAAAGAGGGACATTTTTTTTTACACAATTTAATAAATTGAAGACAATAATTTAATGTAAGTTGCATTGTATTGTAAGTATATATGAGGGAGGCTGTGGCTCAGTGGATAGTGTGCTGGACTTTGAATCAGGGGATAGCAAGTTTGAGTCCCATGACATGTAATGTAATGTAAAATGTAATGTACAGTATATTATATATTGCCAAAGTACATTCAAAGACTCCCCTATTTAAATTGTTTTATTATTTTGCAGATATCTGAAAACAACTAATTTATTTGTCTTGTATAATCTTAATTTAGTAAGTCAATTTGGACTTTTGCCCACATCCTTAAACTCCACCCAATTTAAATCCTGTTTCCAGAATAAGATAAATGGCTTGCTTGCACTTCAGATCAAACGTAGTCTTAACCCGCAGCCATTTTTTCGCTGGTGACCAATCGGTTATGGGCAAATGCAACTCCTAACCGAGATAAGAAGGAAGAGAGATGGTTTACTCCTTATCTAGGCAAATTAAGTTACTCCATCATCAACTCAAATATGTTCTGCTCCTTCCCGAATGATCGGGCATGTGAGCTGCTTGATTTCCTTATACTTGCCCTGGGAGGTGGCATAATGAAATCAGTATTCATTCCTTTTTCCAAATACTTGCATGTGCAATTGCCTGATGAAATTACAATTATAATTTGCAATTGGGAGCCGTTGCTCATCAGAATCTGTGAGTCATAATCAATGCAAGACAGTGATAGAAGACAGTTTAATGCAATATAACAGCAGAGCCTCTCTGCCATAACAATTCAGCCAGTTGCTCCCGTATACGGCTCCTTCACATAGAAAAAAAACATGTTTTCTATTCTCTTGCCAGGACCAGTAATGAGCTCTCTGTGATCCAACAGTTTAAATTACACAACCTTAAAGTGCCTGATGCTTTCTCAGTAGGATAGTTAGAGAGATTTAAATTACACTCACACATAATAAAACTTGCCATAACTGTCATTCATTAAATGAAGTCCCAGTTACTTTAAGCAGGACGAACCAAACCTGATATTCTGTGACATTCCCTTCCCTCCCCCACTTAGATAAATTAAGACACACACTCCTCGAAGCCAACTCTCACACACCTGTGTGTCATTTCCTCAGGTGGGTCGTATGATCATTGGACACCACGGGATCATGTCCACGCCGGCCATCTCCTGTGTGATCAGGAAATACAAAGCCATCGGTGGCATCATCCTCACTGCCAGCCACAACCCCGGGGGACCTGATGGAGACTTTGGCATAAAGTTCAATACTGCAAACGGAGGTTTGGAAACTGGAGAGGAGGAAGCATGCAGGGGCATCAGCCAAGAGAAAAATAGTGTTACGAGAGAAGTTAACAAGAACACTTTTAGACACAGTGATGAGATCAAATGTCTGGAATAAACACATTCAAAAGATCTGCATGGTTTTACCAATTAATATCCAAAACAACTTTATATTATCCTCAATCGTCGACAGTTCTTTAGTACACCACTAAGTGCAATATCATGTGTTATGTTGAGACTATTCTTCTTCATGTAGGTCCAGCAAAGGAGGCTGTCACAAACAAGATCTTTCAGATCAGCAGGACCATCGAGGAGTTTGCCATCTGCCCCGGACTGCAGGTGGATCTGACCAGTCTGGGAAAACAGATGTTCGATCTTGAGAACAAGTTCAAACCCTTTTCAGGTGAAGTGCAACATCTGTCAGACACCCATTACTTCAAATAGGAGAAGATAGAGGTAATGAGAGGAACAAATGTTGGTGTGTTGATGTTATTACGTGAAGATGCTTGATACGTTTATTAAAGACTTGTTTTATTTTATGAACTAGTGAGATTACGCACTTTTTGTATGGAAGAGAATTAGGGCCTGGCAAAAGGGGGAAAATGTCCAAGGAGGGAATAAAATGTAAGAATTTAATTGGAGTAAAGGCAAGATGTCAAGAACAAAAGTTTAACTTTCAATGTAAATTTGAGCATTTTTTACAAAATAAATAAAGTTGAAATATTTGCAAAAAGTTCAAATGACATTGTGAGAAATAACTTGTTTATAATAACATCAGACTTTAAATAATAACTTAAACTACTACAGTAGCTTTATCACATAATAAAAAAAACATCTTTATTAGCAAAGTTTCGACTTTATTCTTAACATGCACATTCTTCTCTGCTATGCTTGGCCCTAATAGTCTTCCGTATATTCTTCAGTGATCCTTTTCATCATTTATTATTTGATAATAATGTATACTTTTCTTACTGTTTGTTGTGTCCAGTGGAAATTGTGGACTCTGTGGAATCCTACGCTAACCTGTTGAGGAACATCTTTGACTTTTCTGCGCTGAAGGAGCTTTTATCTGGAGAAAACCACATCAAGATCAAACTGGATGCCATGCATGGAGGTGAGAGGATATTAACCAAGAGCATGTCATCTCATCAAAAATATTCTCTGTCACTCTGAATACAAAAGACAGAAAGATTATCATGTCTAAACATGCAGGGTTACTTTATCGTTGTTTTGGTGATTCCATTGTCACATTAGTTTTGATCTTAATAGTAATATAAGGAATATTAATGTATAACACTTATAATTGTTCTTATATTGTAAAGATATGTATATATTGAAAAACATGAAGTGTTGTTCTAGGCTTCGATATAGTGTTGGAGAGGTGGCATTGGATTAAAGCAGTGGTTCTCAAACTTTTTCTGACAGGCCCCCCCTTTGGAGAAAAAAAAAAGTCGGGCCCCCCCCAACACAAATAGTCACATAATGGGCTAAGTTAACATTTATTAAAATACATCAATATGAACGTGAGCATTCCTTTCAAAAAAATAAAAAAATCAGTGATAATAAAACAATGCTCCATAAGTCTGTGTGCTCAAAGAAATATATACAATTGTGCAATCCCTTTGCTAGAACAATGAGTTATAATACTTTGCCACTTTGCAATCTGTGCAAAAAAATGAAAAGAAAGAAAATGCTGATATTTGGTAAAAAGGTGTCTTATCATTAGTGGCTGCAATGAGCCTGTTTTGCACTGCACATTTCTTCAAAACGGGGTTGCAGGCTCAGTGGCGGAGCCAGAGATTTCTTTTGGGGGTGCTGTGGGGTAGCTTGACGTTTCATAGAGGGTGCTCAAACATTTAGGGTTTCCCATTAAGTTACCGGGCGCTACAGTGGAATTTTCTACTGTAACAATCCCCACGCACATACACAGTGTACCCGCGACAGTTACAATGAAGGCTCGATAATCAGCTCATGGCATATAGGTGTAAGCAGGGGTAAAGTGCTATTTTTATAAGTGGATGGTGGACCTAACATTGGGGGGTCCGGGGGCAAGCTCCCCCGGGAAGGATTTTTTTTTAAATATTGAAGTTAAAAGCATCAATCTGGTGCACTTTGAGAACAAAATGAAGAGATCTATGGATACCTCTCTCAACACCCATATGAAACAGAACTGTAAACAGATTTACTTTTTCTTTATGGATATTTTACTAATCACCCTTTTAAACTTTATTCTTTTTTTACTGTCATATAGTATTTCATAACTGTTTTTCCTTTTTTCTCTTATTTTTTTTATAACTATAATGATCATATAAACGTGTGCCTCGGAAATAATTGTTAACATTAATCGTGACCAAACCGTTTGAGACCCACTGAGATAACTTAGACTAAAGTTAACTATCTAAACACTGAGAGAGTCCTTTAGCTCACTGAACCTCTCAGTCTGACAGGAGAGGACTCTCCTCCACCTTGTTGTGGAAAAAGCTCCTTATATCTGTTAGCGTAGCTCGCTAGCACCAGAAGCTAACAACAACGATCTCGGGTACCGGTGCGCTCTCTCTCTCGCTCGCGCACGCACACAAAATTGCTCGTTCCACACACACACAGAGCCGAGCTTGAATGAAACAGAGACCCAGATGTATTTGTACTGTACTGTATCATATTATTTTCTAATCAATAATTTTTCAAATTATGATTTTTCTTTAAAAAAAATAAAAAAATAGTTTTCCTCCTGGTCTCTCGCACCCCCCTGTTATGCCCCCCACTTTGAGAAACACTGGATTAAAGGAACTGTTGACTTAAGAATAATTCAAAAATGATCAGGTTACTAAAGCTATTTAAAGCGTCCCCAAACATTGAAACTCGATCTAATGGGCCAACAGATCTCACATCCCCTGTGCCAACATTTAACAGGAAGTCATAAGAATTTATATTTATAGTGTTTCATTTTTACAAGATACAACACCCCTACTGCTTTTGCCCTGGACTTTCTCTCTATTTCTCAAGCCATAGACACAATACAAATCAAAACGCTAACTCTTTTGTAGTTTTTGCAGTATTTTCCAGTCTTTGTGCTTAGATAACCAACAGCTGGCAGTGACTTTATATCTACCTAGCAACAACCTCCACATTTGAAAACGTTGAGCCAGTGGGGAAGGGCCTTAAAGCAAAAATGATTTTAAATATCCAGCAGGGGCATCTGTTGCAAAATCTGAATGTATAGAAGTCTATGAGAAAATTACACTATTTCTCAGTTCATTTACTACCTTTGTGAATATTTCACTAATCATTTTATGGTCTCAATTGCTAGTGGAGAGCCTTCTTTCAAGTGTCTGTTTAGATATTGTCTTTCTTATTGTTAGAACTTGAACCCTTTGACAGTGTTTTCAGTTCATCAAAGTTTCAGTTAATCCTTATCACCCTGTCACTCCTTGTTACAAAAAAACAAGAATGAGACCACCAAAAGATGAGAAGCCATCAGACAAAATCAAAACCATAGTACACAAACCAATGGGTGACATCACAAGGGACAGTTTAGCCATCATGAATCCAAAGGTTTGTGCTATGTACAAATATAAAAATGAACATTTAAAAGTATTATGTTTGTTTGGCCACCGCTCACTGCAGCATGTTCTAAATTGATTAATCAGCATCCAGTATTAAAATAAGCCCAACAATTGAATTCCAATTTCGTACAACCCCATATTTGACTTCCGTAGTTCATAATTGTCTTTATATCTTATCTCTGTTTCTCTTCTCCCCAGTGGTAGGACTGTATGTAAGGAGGATACTCTGTGAGGAGCTGGGCTGCCCAGCCCACTCTGCCATCAACTGTGTCCCTCTGGAGGACTTTGGGGGTCTGCACCCCGATCCTAACCTCACCCATGCTGCAGATCTGGTTGAGAGCATGAGAGACGGACAGTATGACTTTGCTGCAGCATTTGATGGTGACGGGGTAAGTGTACTGTGGGGGAAACTTCTGTGTAGCAATGCATTGGGAGTCACCGACTCAGGAAGGAGACACGGTGAGAGTTGGAGCTTTTGATGTCAAACACTGATGGGTTTATTCAGAGTATCGGCCGGAGGATTCACATCACAAATCAAAGAGTCAGAGGTTCTGACTACACGGTAGAGTTGCCACGTCAATTCTGAAGAGCCTCTCTCTATGCTAGACCTTTTAACTGGTTCACAGAGAGTAATCAACATCTCTGAAGGAGTAGACTAAACAGCTGGGAACACTGAACCACCTGCGTCCGACACTCATGGCCTCAAGGATTTCACATCTTAGAGTCCACAAACACCGATAAAGAAGTGCCTCAGCATTCTCACAACAAGTACCATTCGTGCCAGACAAGTTGACCGGTCACAAACTGGTGACAACAACACATATGGCACCAAGGCCTTTCCTTAAAGGAGATAACAGACGTCAGAGTAGATCATAAAACGTCACAGAGCAAAAGGTTAGATATCTAGAAGAATTATTCCTTAACATGTACCACTGTGCCTTTCTTTAGGTTTTCTAAAATGAAACCAACACAAATAATCTCTGACCCTTGTCTGCCTTTCTAGGACCGTAACATGATCCTCGGTAAGCACGGCTTCTTCGTCACCCCTTCTGACTCTGTGGCTGTGATAGCTGACAACATCTTCTGCATCCCATACTTCCAGCAAACTGGGGTGAGAGGCTTCGCCCGCAGCATGCCCACAAGCGCAGCCTTAGACAGGTAAAAACACACAGCCATCACTTCTACAACCACTGAGTGAGGTTAGAGGGGGAAATGATTTATAAAGGGATCAAAGTATTGCTACTGATAGACAGTATTCCTACAAACCATGTTAAAGTTGTGTCAAGGATTATTGTGTTTGTAAACAAATTACAGTTTGCAGTGTTATTTTGAACACAATTTATTTTTTAAATTGCCACTTCTCTAGGAAATAAAACGGCAGCTTGACTAAACCTATAATGTAGTTTTTGTAACAAGCAGCACTTCTTGAACTTGTTATTATTAAATCACTGAGAATGGAGAAATAATAACGTTTTTGGTAAATGTTTTTTTTCAAGTGTATGAATAAAAATTACTATTTGTCTTATTATAGCAGTGGATATTACTTTAAAAAAAGTAAAACTCTATCATCTTGTACACGATTTCCCATGCTTTCATGCCTTAATTTACCGCACTGCGTTCATCAGTGCACAACAGATTTGAGGAAAACAAAAATATACTCCCTTTTGTCCTGAATCAGGAATACTTTTCGAATCTTATTGTGAGATTTTATAAGATTCTCATCAATAATGCCCTGATGTTCGAAGTTGAGGCCATGTGAAACTTAGAGTACTTATGTCGCAATATATTTAAATGAAATTGTTGCAATTATAATTTAAAGGTTCACTGTATTCTTTCCTTGTATTCCCAGAGTAGCCAAAGCAACACAAATAGAGTTATATGAGACTCCCACTGGCTGGAAGTTCTTTGGGAACCTAATGGACGCAGGCAGACTGTCTCTGTGTGGAGAAGAAAGCTTTGGCACAGGTATTGTACTGAAAGTTATTAGATCAAAAGATTGTAATTAACTTAGTGTCGTGGGTAAAAGACTCTAATGTCATTTAATAACATCTCGTCTTTCAGGTGGAGACCATATCCGTGAGAAGGACGGGCTGTGGGCCGTGCTGGCATGGCTTTCCATCCTGGCCTCCAGACGGCAGAGTGTGGAGGACATCCTGAGGGAACACTGGCTCAAATATGGAAGGAACTACTACACCAGGTGAGACGTCCACACACCTGTGTTGTTTATCTGTTGTTTTGTGTTCAGAGTTTACACATACATAAACTATTAAAAAACAAAGAAATAAGTAGAAATAATGTTAATTTTTTATTTATACGGATGTAGTTTGGATTTATGGTACAGATACAGGTGAAGAAGATGCAGGACATGGCTGACACCTAGTGGAATGTATGTGACATTACATCTTTTTTAAAGACCACTATCTAGTAAATACAAAATATAACGTGATGATGTCAGGGCTTTTTCTAAAAAAAGTATTTCCCTTTGTGGAAATAAGTACCAAATGTAACCAGATATATTATATATATTCTGCATTAAGACTTTCAGACTCTATGTATTACTTTCGAAAGGCTTTTCTCCTGTAGATCAACCTCTCTCACATAATAATATAAGATAAGATTAGATAAGAAGGACCTCGGTAATGTAACCCATTGTTAATGTTGTTAATGTTATCACTATTGAGTCAACACACATGGAGAAATTATTTACTTTTCCTTCATATTTTGTGTCTTTTGTTAAGGAAGTAGCCTCATTAAATGTGCAATTGGCATTTATTCACGTCAATGATTCATCAGTTAATTGTAATTCATTTACAAACCCATGGACTTTAAAATCCCCTAAGTGTTCCAGAAAGACATTTACTGAGTATTATTTTGGAAATTGGTAGATGGTGCCTGTCATAGCGTTGGCCTCCCATTAAACTCACTTGAGACCGCTGTAGAGTAAGAGCTCTTACTTATGTAACAGAATAAGTGTTCTGTTTTCTGTCTAGATATGACTATGAGAACATAGACATAGATGCGGCCTGTGAGATGATGGAGGATTTGGAGATCTTGATCGCAGACAAGTCCTTTGTCAAGCAGAGATTTGCTGTGGAGGACAAAATCTACCAAGTGGAAAAAGCAGACAACTTTGAGTACACAGACCCAGTGGACAGCAGCATCTCAAGGAACCAGGTACACACACTGAGCTGTATTCCTGTAATAATGCAGTTTTTTATGTGTACAGATACTGGATGTAACCTGATTGGAGCTACTCAGCTGTGCCTGCAGATCCTAAAAGCTTCACTTAGTCTGTATTGGGCTGTTTTTCACCGCAGGGTTTACGGATAATCTTCTCTGATGGTTCTCGGATCATCTACAGACTCAGTGGGACGGGCAGCCAAGGGGCGACAGTCCGAATCTACATAGACAGCTACGAGAAGGAGCAGATTTTTGAAGACACACAGGTACATATATTGAATTCTGAAAGCTTAAAGTATGAGACAGGCCTCATAATTTTTGCACTATATGAGATGTTGATAGTGCCATGTGGTAGAGAGGAACAGGGCAGGGATAACCGTCCATATTAGGCATTACAGTACATTTTTAAACAGTTTTTCTCAATTGTAAACTCACAAAAATCAAACTATGCACATGTCCTGAAAAATTGAAGCTAATTTATCAGCAACGAGACTCCAGATGCTAGGCATAATTAAAAAATGTCACCAGGCAGTCAGCTGACTTTTTGGCAGTCAGCTGATCGTTTTACAGCATTTCAGTGACACATAGTACATTGCTTTGTTGCCTTTTTGTATTTGTGCTCTGATTCCATCTTTACCTCCCCAGAAAGACTGTTAAAACCTTTTCATACTGTAGTCTCATTTACCTTACCATTGCAAACACTGTGATAGGTATTATTAGTGTATTCTTAGAACTCAATGCAACACATAGTTATACTTTCAACTACTCTATGACTTACACCATGACTCTTGGAAGCTTGGTTGTGACTTAACAGTAATTGAGGCTCATTGTTACCTATGCCTCTACAATGATTGAATCAATGCAATATTTATATGATATGTTCACAGTTTTGTATAACAATGAAGGAAACAGTCCTAGTACTGTATGTACAACTAAAACTTGAAGCTATTTTGGGACGACACAAAATAACCTAAACTTAAAAAAAAAAGAATTCCACAAATGTGTTGGGATTTAATATATGACATTGCCAAATAAAGCCAACACATTTACAAACAGTATTTCAATGTTTAATTTAAGTTGAACTTAAGTGTTTAATCAATGGTATGGAAGCCGTGTGTATCATTTAGGTAGGACAAATCAATTTTAAGAAGAAAGAGCATTTTCTGAGAGGTCAGTGTTGACCAAATAATTATGTTCTGCTTTGTGATTGCCCATCTCATAAATTGAGCTATTTCAGCTAAACAGTTAATGTCTCCTTATAGTTAAATATTAATGAGGAAATGCATCCGAGGCATCTGGCAGCCAGCTGCTTGAGTCTAATATCATCCTTGTCTGGGACAGGTGATGCTGGCGCCCCTGGCAACCATCGCTCTGAAGATCTCTCAGCTCCATCACAGGACGGGCCGAAGTGGCCCTTCAGTCATCACATGAATCCCCTTCCTATTTTATTTCCTCTTTTTGTATAAACTGAGCTTCAATTCCAAGTGTAGCTGCACAACATGCAGGAGTTTGCATGTGAGGCTAAAATGTATCTGGTGATTTATTCTGTTACACATTAAACTGCTTTTTATTTTCGGGTTATGTGTGGTCTTTTCCACATATAGCAGAAACCTAGGGAAGGGAATATGGCTGGCCATAAGAAAATAAATTAGTTATCAAAATAAAGGTGAAATGTTGATAATAATATTTAAATGTTGGGAATCGAAATGCCGAGAATAAAGTCTAAATGTTGAAAATGAAATGAAAATGTTGATATAAAAGATGAAATGTTGAGAATAAAGATAACATTTTGGATATAAAGTGAAGATGTGGAAAATGTAAATGTTGAGAATAAAGTAGGAACTATCAGCATTAAGTCTAAATGTCAAGAATAAAATCAAACTGTTGAGAGTAAGGTTGAAATGTTGAGATCAAAGTCAATATTTGTAGTAGATCTAACATTAGTCTTCGCGAAATGCAAAAAATATTGAAAAATGGGTTGTAGTTTTTCATGTTTTCATCCGTCTCTTTCCCTTTTCTTATCTATAGGAATGTTCCAATCATTAATTAAACCAACAATTTACAGGTAAAAAGCAGCAAGTTCTCAAAAAACACTACTAGTCCTAGTAATCAAAACGACTAACGATGACATCATGTTGTCCTATACGTTCTCTCTGTGAAACTTGGTTCTATTACTGTGTATTCTGTGCACTCAGGATGTGAGCCTTGTGGTTTTGTGGTAGGTAGCTCTGAAGACTGTTGAGAGGGTGAAGAAAATTAGAAAGTAACATACCGTTTCTCACATGAATAACATTTCTTTGTGCACTGCTCATTGCCAAAGTAAAGAACGGTGTTTCATGCTATGAAGCCTTAAATTATTATTTTGGCTCATGCGTACTCCCTCATTCAGGCAAATTAAAAATCATCAGTGAATAACAACCTGAAATTGCCATTGAGTGCTTTGAGCTGGAGGATGAGCAACAACATATCAGGGGTTATATATTTCTACCCCATGTGGAGGCTTCTACTAAATCTGAAACATTATTTCTGCAGGAGACATTTAAGCCGTTACATTTTAAAAGAGCCCTACCCAGCTCTGGTGGCTCCATTATATCCATCTGGACAGCAGCAGTAGCATCAGGTAGCTAACATCTGGTCCAGCTCTGTGATCACACATGCCCTTTGAAGTGCTGCACCTCTCTGCTGCTTCATCTCCATATTACTGAACCACACTGAAGCCCAAAAAGAGACACACACTCTGAGTGTGGCTCCGGTTCAGTTTAGGTCATACATTTTTTTGATTTAACAACTTGGTGGAAAAAAAATCACTGACACAGAAAGAGAAAATTATATATTTATTTAAATGGCCCTATTATGGTCATTTTCAGGTTTCATATTTGTATTCTGTACCTCTACTGTGACATTTCCATGCTTTAATGTTCAAAAAGGTCTTTATTTTTCTCATACTGCCTGTGCTGCAGCACCTCTTTTCACCCTCGGTCTGAAACCAGATCCCTCTGGATGGCCGGCTCTGTTGTGATTGGTCAACTTCTTACAGATGTCCTGCTCCTTAGCCTATAGCCTTGGCTCTTAAGCTCCTTACACACCAAGCAGATTTTCGGCGTCGATATATGTCGATAGATGTCGGGCCGTCGATGAGCGTCGTGTCGCCCTACTCAGATTGGTGTGTACTGCACCGCCGTGTCTTTTCGGCCGTGCCAACACCTTCCGCCGCCGATTCGACATGTTGAATCGGTAGGCTGTCGGCCAAATAAATCACTCCGATTGGCTGTCCAGCTTAGCGAATCAGTGCATGAGAAGGGAAACGGAAGCGAGGGACCCAAACAAACTATTAAGAAGGCAAATCTGAGATTTCATTTAACTCCAGCTCTCGACACAGGTTTGGGAAAGCCCCATGAGCTTCTCGCTGTACAGTGAAAATGGAACGCACACGCTATTTGTTGTTTGTTTATATCACGCAGTCTGTTCTTCTTCTCTCTGTGTATCACACAGTCTGTCTTCCGGTTGTTGCCTCTTTTGAATGACGAATACACACTACCGGTGTCAGTTTGGTGTGTAAGACACCAAACTGACACCAAAGAACACCAAAGAACACGTCGCGGACTTCCTCACACACACACACTCAATCTTTTCTCAGCTGCAGCTCCGCAGATTTCTCAGCCTGAACTCAGCCTGAACTCAGCCTGAGGCGGCGATAGGCGACGGGGCTCGGCCTGGGCTCGTTCTGAGCACACACGCAGACTCACAGCCAGGCCGCAGGTGTGTGTGTGTGCTCGGGCTGGGTTCAGGCTGGGTTTCGCTGTGTCTCGCTGTCTCGCAGATCCCCCGCAGCAAGCCAGCTCACACTGTTCGCTCCAGCAGCGAGCCCCGCAATGTCCCGCCAACACGGCACCCAGACCCCACGCAGCATTCTCATCTGTTTGCCATTGCTGGTGTCATTGTCTGGTTGCTAACGCCATTGTAACACATAATCACTGATGTTCCGCTGTAACGGTGGTGGACTCATCAGAACAGAGTGGGTGAGCTGACCAATCAGAGCACACTGGGCTCATAGGGAGGGGGGGGCAGGAGCTCCAACAAGCCGTTTAGGACAGAGAGTGAATACACATACTATACAGAGATGCTGTATGAGAAACCAATGTGAGTTTGGAAAATTGCACAATATAAATCTATTTTAGTATACCTCAACAATGGAATTATGATCAGTATAAATGGCCATGACATGGGACCTTTTTGCTTTACAAAAAATGAAAGACATTAAGAAAATGGCATTTAAAATCAGTCATTAAAAAGCAAAGATAAATCAAATAAACATTAAAAGAAAAAAAATACATGGATAAAAGTTACAGTGCAGTTTAAGATGTGAATAGTTCAATTAAAAGCAGCGGCAAAAAGAAAAGTCTTCAGCCTGGATTTAAAAGTAGTAAGAGTTGCAGCGGACCTGCAGGTTTCTGGGAGTTTGTTCCAGATATTTGGAGCATAATAACTGAATGCTGCTTCTCCATGTTTAGTTCTGACTCTGGGGACAGAAAGCTGACCAGTCCCTAAGAGTAATTTATTGAAACAATACATCTCTGATATCACGTGAATCTAGACCCCCATGAGCAGCGCTGCGTGGTCTCGTGCTCCTCGTCACGAGGTATTGCAACCATGGGAGCAGCAAGCTATTCTTAAACGGTATGCACATTTGATAATGTGCCCAGTGCTCACAAGCAGCACCTGTTGGTGTTCGTGTGTGTGTGTGTGTGTGTGTGTGTGCGCGTGTGCGCGCGTGTGTGTGTCTATCTGCAAACACGGTTAGCAGTGGAAATATACAGTCTGCAGTTGAAGTCAATCTGAGCTACTGTCCCTTTAAGACGGTCACGTGACGACCAAGAAGGAAACCCGATGGAGGAAGCAGGAAGTCTGTGATCAAGAGCTCGACCACATCAACAATAAACAAAGAACAGCTAAACTCAAAGAGAAACTTTCACACAGCGCAATGGCAGGAATTAAAGGTATTGTGTTTTATTTGTGTAGCAGTCCGTTTACAGCTAAGAGTTGCGTTAATGTAGTGTCGAGGAGGTTAATGCTTTAACAACTTTAGTTTTAAACATTATGGAAACCTTTGTTGAATCATTTCGAAAGCTATCGTTACAACACTACCGGGGGATTTTACGATGTGTTACAAGCTTTAACGTAGCTTTGAATTGAATTTATTTACAAGCCTATCGTATTTCTGTATTGTTTGTACAGTAACTTGGACACAGCATCCCTGTAAATATAACGTAATGTTTCTCTTCCTCAGCACTGGTGGGGTTGTCCTTCAGTGGTGCCATTGGACTCACATTTCTTCTTCTGGGCTGCGGACTGGAACAATACGGGTAGGTTTATTGTCATGCCGAAGAATTGAGGTTATTGCTTAAGAAACACGCGATAAATGAGGCTTACATCGATAGTTAACATATTTTCCAGTGAAAAGGTAGTCACTCACAGTTAACTAAAACCCCTTGAATTGGTGCTCCAGCAACAAGTATTGCACTTTCTTAAGGAGTTTTTAAGAGGCAGATTTTATAAAGAATAGTGAAAATCAAGGCCGCAAAGGGTCAAGCTCCAGGCAAAATGAATCCTACAATTTCCATAATGCAACTCAATAGCTTCTTTCATTAGAGTCGTACTGCCTTTTTGCTGCCCACTTATTTCAAAGCCCACGCTTTTAGTTTGTAATGAAGGCTTTTCTGCGAGAAACTAAACAAAAACTGAACTAAACCCAAGCTGAGATAACTGATAATTATGTAATTTTTTTCAATGAAGGTAATACTTCTACATGTTTGTTTTTATCTGACAAGCTGCTAACTCATGTCGTCCTACATAATAAAACATGGACCATCTATCTTTCATTTATAACTGTTATAACCTGTGTTTCTTCAGGGTATACTGGCCACTATTTGTCCTGTTCTTCTACATATTGAGCCCCATCCCGACCTTCATATCCAGACGCCTCAGCGATGATGATTCCTCCAGCAACGCATGCAGAGAGCTGGCCTACTTCCTAACAACTGGCATTGTGGTATCTTCTTTTGGGCTTCCCATTGTGCTAGCCCGGACCACCACGGTGAGTTCTCTCTAACCGTGTTCAAATACTTTGGAAAAGATTATTACCATAGGGTGAACACAGCCACTATTATTGGCTTTTGTTTGTTTGTTTGTGTGTGTGTTTTCTCACATAAGTTGTTGGTATATTCACACTCACTGTATCTTGAGAAATGTTCAGTACAATGTGCCAGCAGAGCGTTGTGAAACTGATTCATGTGTTTAGTCATACAAAGTCATACAAAGACCTTGAAGGCTACAAAATGGCAGATAACACTGGGAACTTTATAGAGAAACCTCACAAGCATGTCTACAATTCATCCTTTCCAACCCATGGTATCAAAATGGAAACAAACCGCAAGTCTTTTGCATGTGTGACCCATGAACAGAACCCGCTGCCATATTTCAATCATTACCATCTGAGCTGTACCTTTGCCATAATTAGTCATGTTTTCTGAAAAATCAATAACCTTATAAAGTTTCCAAGATCAAAGCATACAAAAGAACAGACAGTAATGTGTACGTTCGATATGGATCGGTCAATAATGCTGTGTTTGGGGGAATAAAAGACACGTTTATTACCTTCAAATAAAAGACGAGTGCTAATTAGCTACCCAACGTTGGGAGGCTGTGGCTCAGTGGTCAGTGTGCTGGATTTCAAATCAGGGGATAGCAAGTTCGAGTCCCACTGCAGTCAGCATGTCGTTGTGTCCCTGGGCAAGACACTTCACCCCAAATTGCTCCTGTGGGGATTGTC